TTGTCTCTTTCTAGCATGTTGCTTGGAGACCAGGGTAGTAGAGAATGGCTGTGTTTAGGTTTGAATTCCAGCTCTGCCATTTGATAGCTTCCTGAACTAAGACATTATTCTTTAGGCCTGTTTCTATGGGGGTCAGGTGGAGTGGACAGTGCTTCTTTGCATAGTGAATATTGCCTTCACTCCAGCTCATGTAACTAAATCCTCATCCATCAGGAATCAGCTCAGCACTCAACCTCCCTGCAGCCCCCTTCACTCTCCAAAGTAGTAATCTCTCCTGAGGTTAAGTTTTAGCAGCAATGGCTGACATATTATTGAGTACCTAACTTGTGCCATATATTTTTCTGAGTATTTTACATGGATTAACTTATTTAATCCTCACAACTACCATTTTTCAGAATTGCAAACAGGCTGAGATGAAGGCACTTTCCCATGCTTTCACCACTGGTAAATGGCTGAGGTGGGATCTTGAAACCAGTCTTGCCTGAGAACACATTCTCTTAACTGCTGCCTGTTATATCACCCTGTTTATTTCTGCATAGCAGTCTTAAATATTTGTTGCATGAATGAACAGTTAAAGTGAGGTAACATGTGAAATGCCCAGCCTGGTGCCTGGCATGGAAGAATTCTGAAAATGGTGAATGAATAGTTCTTATTCTCTGGCAGCCTGGAGGACCTAAGGGCCCTCAGAGGGAAGTGTTTTCTTCTGGATCCCTTGTTGCCAGAGCTGCTTGTGTTTCCTGCCCAAACAGATCTGCATGAACATCCACTGTACCAAGCTGGTCACCTCATTCTACAAGACAAGGTAGGGAAGGTGGGTAGAAGAGGGAAGAATGTTTGGGAGTGATGGACCTGGAGTCTCTTCACCCAGCAATTATGTTCTGCCCCACCAGGCTAGCTGTCTCCCAGCCATGCTGCTGGCTCCGCCCCCAGGTTCCCATGTCATCGATGCGTGTGCTGCCCCAGGCAATAAAACCAGTCACTTGGCTGCTCTTCTGAAGAACCAAGGGTGAGTGCCATGGTCAGACAGAGGAAGGGAATAAGGTCTGATCCTATACTTGTTAAGAAGAAATCAGGAACTCATTATTCCAATAGGACTGAAGGCTGAAAGGAAGATTTTCCTTTAAGTAGTTCTGGACCTAGGATAGTTCACAGTATAGCCCCAAGCTAAGCTTCCCAGTAGGTTGCAGGTGTGAGATGTGAATCCCTTAGCTCCTACAGGCCATTTACATGTTATTTTACCTCAACTCTGCCCTCTTCCCTAGGAAGATCTTTGCCTTTGACCTAGATGCTAAACGGCTGGCATCTATGGCTACTCTCCTGGCTCGGGCTGGAGTCTCTTGCTGCCAGCTAGCAGAGGAGGACTTCCTGGCAGTCTCACCCTCAGACCAGCGTTATCGTCAGGTCCAGTACATCTTGCTGGATCCTTCTTGTAGCGGCTCTGGTGAGATGAGAAATCGTGGCCGAGGGACCCCATTGATCCAGAGAAGCAACCTTAGAGCAGAAGAGGTTGCAATTCATTTTGACCTTGGGTTTAGTTCTGACTCAAATCATCTTGTAACCCTGGGCAAATGTTCTCATCTGTAAAGTGGGGATTTCAGTATGAAATAAAGCGTCTCTAATTAAGTCTCTTCTTTAGGTATGCTGACCAGAAAGCTGGAGGAGTCTGGGGCAGGTGCACCTAGCAAGAAACGCTTGCATGCCCTGGCAGGGTTCCAGCAGCGCGCTCTGTGCCATGCGCTCACTTTCCCCTCCCTGCAGCGTCTTGTCTACTCCACATGTTCCCTTTGTCAAGAAGAGAATGAAGATGTGGTCCAGGATGCCCTGCAGCAGAGCTCAGGAACCTTCAGGTAGTGGGGTTTCTCCCAGGGTCTTGGGAATAGAGGCTGCTTTGTTTTACCTAGAAGTCTTTGTTAATTCTTCTCCGCAGGCTAGCTCCTGTTCTACCCTCATGGCCCCATCGAGGCCTTAGCACTTTTCCAGGGGCTGAACACTGCCTCCGGGCCTCCCCTGAGACCACACTCACTGGTGGCTTCTTCATTGCTGTACTAGAACGGGTAGAGGTACCAAGGTGAGTTGGGGGCCTAGTGGAAAGATGCTGAAAGACTGAGACACATCTAACTTGTACTTTTCTTCTAGCTCAGTCTCACAGGCCAAAGAATCGGCACCAGAGCTTAGACCCAGCCCAGCCCCAAAGAGAAAGAGGAGGCGGTCTAAAGCAGCAGCTCCTCCTAATACACTGTCTTGCATATAGTAAGTACTCAAAGCTTTGACTTCTTGGGTGGGAGGAAAGGAAGACACTAGTCCTCCCCTCAGCTTAGCCTTGGGCCCTCAGCCCCAGGCAGTTTTGTTTTTGAAAGGTTCTCTTCTTTTTATTTTTATAGGAAGGAAACTAGTAACCCTGTTTCTCCAGCTGGAAAGACACTGGATTTCCGAGTCCTTTGGGTCCCTTCCCAGCGCGGTGTTCTTGCTGGTGAGAGAAGTGCTGCCCACAAAAATAAAAGGCAGGACATGGTCTACAATAGATCACAGTTCTTTTTTTTAATTCTTAATGACATAAGCAAGGAGAAAAGTCTCACATTCATACTAAAAATTCCAACTAGACTCACAGGAATTAAGTATTTGTAATGGAAAGTCCCAGCCTCCCGTTCCTGTCCAGTGCACGTACATGTACACATACACACTCACACACTCATACTCAGGCGTGCCAGGACACCCTCTTCAGGGAGTTCCTGGACCAACTGTCCTGCCTGTGGCACTGAGGTAAACTAGCTCAGAGTACTAAAACTAAGAGGGTCTACCTTACTTAAGGTATAGGTAGAAGCTTGATTTCTAGGCCCGTGCCCCACCCCACCCCTCCAATCCTAATATGTATTTGGGACTTGAGGTTCAGGCCCCCTCTTCAGCTCCACAGACAGTTAAGTATTAACAGAGCTCTTCTTGGGGTTAGGGAGGAACAGTCCCCTGCCACAAAACATTCAACCTCAGTCACGAAGGGGGCAGAAGGACTAGTTAATCTAATGTCACATTATTTATAAAGTAAGAATTACATTTTTGTATAATGTGTCCAGAAGGAGCTCTAGTCCCTCAGGAAAGCTGCCTGGGACAGCACTTGAGCCTCTTCTTCACACAGGCATAACTTAACTATACAGGCTAATTCCTAGTCAATAGCATTTATACTTAACCACCTCAATGAACCAAGCTTGAAGGAATTTAAAAGGCAATTTAGCTTAAATACAAAAATAAATTTATTTTGTTAAAAAATGTTTAAATATTTTTTCTTTTAATTTAGACATACGCATTCATACTTCTCCCAAAGATGGGCATGGCAGCAAGGCTCCTGGGCCTGGGGTATGTGGTTTTGGAAGAAAGGAAGAAAAGGGGGAGGGTTGGACGTGCTGTTGGGAAGGGAAAAAAAAAACTAAGTATGGGTCATTAATTTAGGTTTTCTAACATGTAACTAGGGGTGATCTAGCCTCCTGTGAGGTCAGGAAGGTGGGAGACACACAGCAGAGAGAAGAGGTCTTTGCTTCCCCTTGGCCCCATCCTCCTGGGCTGCCAGCCCTTAAAAGTCAAACACCATTTGAAAATCTAGGAGTCGGCACTTGTAGCCATAAAGTGGTGCTACTTTCCACATTCAATTAGCTTAAGTCCTAGAAACTTGAAACAGTTAAGTCCGGCACTACCAACATGCCGCCACTCATACAATTCGATTCTTCCTCCAAACTCGATTCAAAGAGCAATAGACATAAGCATCAGACAAAGTAACACAGGACAAGGCTTTAAACATACAATCCTGGAGAGGCAGACGTGCCCAATGAGGCCAGCAGGGAGCTTGAGCGAGGAGGCAGCTGAAAGCAGCAGTGGGCATCCTGCCTGCTTCCAAGAGTTTCCCTCTATGGAGCAAGGGATCACCCCTAGATCTGCCAGGCTAACAGTCTTGAGCCACCAAGCTTTTAGGGGCCAAACTGGCAGGTTTGGGAATTAAACACTGACTCAGACTTGGCAGGAGGAAGTGGAACAGCAGAAGCAGCACCCACTGGGATCTCCAAGGCAAAGCTAGATTCAAGATCATTTAAAAAGGAATAGATCCTACAAAGAACCAGTGAGGGACAAAGCAGCAAGAAATGGGGAAATAGTCCCCTAAAGGGACCAGAGGAGAACCACCTTTTATAGCCAAGCCAAGCAAGGTAAAGCTTTAGGGATAATCCATTTCCCCCAATCCCATCAAATGCATACCAGAGGTGCAAGTGGGCAGGGCTCTCCCTCCTACCCTCTGGCAAAGATGGCTTGGGGGTGGGGGGGTAGGTAGGAAGAAGGGAGGCCCCCTGGCTAAGCTTATACACTAAACAAGTCAGGGAAGTGGACGATATGTACAGCTGTTTCTTTAGTTCTCTCCAGCCAACTGTTCAAGTAAAGGATCAGGCTTTTGCCCTGCCACATCCTACCACTCTCTCCCCAAGGAGGCCTGAGGCTTCTGCTTCCTCCAGGAGAGGGAATTGGCTGCCAGGGCTGCTACCACCTCCTCGGTGGCTGAAGCCAGAGGTCTCAGGTAGGTTTGCCTTAAGGAACTAGACAAATCAGAGGCTCTTGCTAACAGATGCTGAGGTCCAGATTTGGGCAAGGGGTAGGGGGAATGAAGGGCAAGGGACAAAGGCTACTTCTTGCGGGTGTGCTGTCTTCGAGCCTGCAGTCGCTGTCGAGCCCCTGGGGTCTTGGATCCTGCACCAATGGAAAATGAAGGGGCCGCCGATCCTGGAAAGATTCAACAAGATCTCATCAGAGCATCTGCTACCTGAGAACACTTCTTTGGGTGCCCCAATCTCCACAGAAAGTTGGGCCAGCAGAACTCTGAGTACTTGAATAGGGCTTCTGCTGTATCAACTGCATTTGAGGAGGAGCCTATTAAATGGCAAAATGCCAGAATCATAGTCTGGGAAAAGCCCAAGAAGGCATTTTTACCTGGCTTCCCAGTATCCTGAGAAATTCTGCCCCAGATGGTTCCTCTCCGATCTCTGCTGCCAACTCCTAATATGGGTTGTGTGGGACTCCCAGCCAGGCCACATCTTTCTCATGCTTATGACCCTGATGTTCCCCAGAGGGCCTCAGCCAGAACCTGCCACTCCATCCCACCCCACCCCCTCTTACCGAAATGTCCGACTCCGACAAAGCCTTGGGTGGGTGTTGAGGATGCCCCAAAGGGGAGGCTGCTGCCCGATGTGCCCACCCCAGGGGCAGGGGTGTTCTGACCAAAGGTAGGTGTGGAGGTGCCTAGAATGAAGAGAGCAGAGAACTGTAGAGACTAGGCCATTGAGCAGAGGGCATCAAAGCAGACGGTAATGAACCTTGGGAGGTCTGCTCTCTGTAGGGGCACTCCGCACAGGACACCTTAGCCCTGGACCACTGGTTCACCCATTCTATGGAGTTGTACAGGATAATTAACACCTGGTGCTCCAGGTGAGCCTGCCCGTCTCCCGCTGAACGTCCTGCGACAGAGAAAAAGCCCCTTTGTGTTGCCTTCTTGCCACCCAAGGAGTATAGCTTCTGCATTCCCTTGGCCACCACAGCACCGCAGAGGGGAACAGTCAGTGGGTCCCCCACCTCCCAGCTTGATCAGGTCACCTCCCTTCTATCAAGACTAATCACATAATGCCTCTTCTGTTTACCTGTCCACTCCCCTCCAGAAACCTGAGCCTCTCACCAAATTCACCATCACTTGGGAGGCTCCACCCTGTTGGTCCCCTGATCTGCCCATGGGGCCCACTGGAACTCAGTCATCAGCAAACTCTCTTGCCCTCAGTGAATCCCACCACCCAATACTGACACTGCTTTCCCTAGAGCACCTCTCGGGGAAGGCTGCATTCTGTCTCATGTGCACTTGTCTTGATCGATGTGGGGTAGGTATCTTCCTCCCTGAGGCCCTCACCTTGACAATCTTTTCTTCTCCCCAACCTCCACCACCCACTCCTACAGTCACACCTTGCTCTAGCTCCTAAATCTTAACTGCAAGTATTGCAGTCTTTCAGCTCAGCTGTTTCTAGTACTCCTGGATTTCCTTAACCTCACCAAGACCTCTAAGTCCATTGCCTGTCCTGTTATACTTGCCTGAGTTTAAGCAAGTTGGGTTTTACCAGCTATCCATTTATTTTAGATCTACACTTCAATGACTAAATGTTTCTGGAGGAAAAAAGACACAACACTGCTAAATGGCTTCACTTTAAATTCATAACCACAATTTGCCAATCCTCAAAACTGCCCGGCAATTATATTACAATTATATTCCTTTTTTATGCTCCAAAATGACTATTTCACGAGGCCCTCTCCTATGTACGCATTTCACCCTAATCCACCCCCTGAAGACCTCTCATATTTAATCAAGAAAACAGAAGCTATCAATATCAAAACTTGTAATTCATCTTCCACGTGGCAAATAAGATAACTTCAAATCCAAACATTTAACCTTGGCAATGAATGATTTTCAATTCTGACAACCTCTCAACCTATTTTTATACCATTTCCATTTTTAAACTTCTAGCCACATTTTGCTTTTCTCTGTTCATGAACATACCAAGCTTGTTTCTGCCTTTGGGCCCTTGTGCTAAATAAATAGCCCTGTTCCTGTAACGCTTTCTCACACACTTACCCACCCATACTCACAACCCCTTTTGTCACAGATATAGTCCTGGCTTAAATTGATTTCCTCAGAAAGGCCTTCCTTGACTACATAAATAACTCCTCCAGTCAGTATTATATATTTTACTTTATCAAGACATTTATCGCTACCTGACATTGTATTTATCTATTTAATGTCTGTCTCTTCACCACCATTATGTAAACTAAAGAGTGGAGACTGTGCTGGCACTTACAACAAGGCCTGGCACAGAAACCAAGTCAATTCCTAATCTCACCTCCAAACACAGGTTTGCTCTCAGGTGCGTTGGCCACATTGAAGGCAAAGGGTGTGCTCTGGCTGGGTGCACCCAAGCTGTTCTGACTCAAGCATCCCCCAAAGGGGGTTGTGCTTCCAGTGGTCCCGCTCTGTCCTCCAAAGCTGAATGATCCAGAAGTGGAGCTGGTGCCTGGGGTAGCCACATTGATCCCAAAGCCCCCACCACCAGCTGGGGCTGCTGAGCTCCCAAATGTGAAGGGTGATGGTGTTGTGCTGCCAAACATTGAGCTACTGGTCCCGCTGCTAGTGGTCTGGGTTGTAGCTCCAAAGCCAGAGGTGGTGGCTGCACCAAAAGAGAAAACAGGTGTGGTGCTGCCAAAGGCTGGCTGAGTGCTGGCAGGCGTGCCAAAGGCAGAGGCTGTGGATTTCAAACCACCAAAAGCTGTCTGCGCAGTGCTGCCGAAGACTGGCTGGGCCGGGGCTGGTGCTGGAGTTGCAGTTAGGGCTGGGGCCGCAGAGTTTCCAAAAGTGAAAGAGCTGCCAAAGCTGGGGGTAAGGGTTGGCTTGGTAGCCCCCTGCTGTTGCCCATCAGTGGCCCCAAATGCAGGCTGGGGGTTGGATCCTGGATACGATGGGAGAGGGGCCTTGGTGCTTGAGCCAAAGAGAATGTTGAATGCTGGGGTGGTAGTGCTACTGAATGTCAGCGTAGGTTGGCTGGTGGTGACTGGGGCTGAAGCTGTAAGAGTGCTGCCAAAACCACTAAAGCCAGTGGTGCTGCTGCTGCTGGTGGCTGTCGGCACAGCACTAGGTAGGGACTGGCAAAAGGTGGTGACTGCTGTTGAACTAGGCATGGAAGGCGGCTTGCCAAATTGAAATATGGAGCCCATGGCGGGCGTAAAGCTGGCACCAGAGGCAGAGGGAGTCCCAAATAGAAAAGGCTGGGAGGTGGAAGTGGTGGTGCTAGTCATGCTGCTCATGGCGCTGGTCACATTGCTCACACCAAAGCCGAAGGCAGGCTTCGAAGCTGAGTCTGCAGAGGTGCTGGCTGTGGTCATGGACACTACTGTTGTGGTGGCACTGGCCTGGCCAGTGAAGAGAGGGGCACCTGTGGTTGTGCCTGGAGTAGTTGTTTGATTGAAGGAGAAGGGAGTTGACAGGGGCACAGATGTAGGTGGCCCTATGCTGCCAAAGATAGGCTTGAAAGTGACAGATGAGGTGCTAGTAGTCGTGGGGAGGGCAGAGCTGGAAGATGCTGTGGTTGTGACCTTGGAAGGACTAGATGGTAATGGGCTCTCATTCTCACTTTTAGGTGGGTCCACAAAAATGGGCTTGAATGTGGGAGATGCCGAAGATACAGCAGGAGCTGCAGAGGCAGAAGGGTTAGCAGGTGGGGTGCTCAGCATTCCCAACAGAATACTTTGCTTGGGGGTGGGGGATGGGGCAGACAGGGCTTGAGATTTAGCAGATGTTTCAGCCTGAGGTGCCAGAGGTGACTTGGTAGTGTCACTGACTGGTATTGTGGAAGAAGCAGGGGTCAGCCCCAGGAAAGTGACCGTGGATTTGGAGTCTGAAGAGGTGCCTAGAAGGGGCGCTGACTGTGAAGAGCCAAGAGGGCCTAGAAGGCCGGGTGTCTTCGGAGGCGAATGGGCCACAGTGGCTGTCACTCCAGCAGATTCTGGGAAGAAGAGCAGAGAAAGTAAGTTCTGAATACTTCAGATGTGGCGGTATTCAATTGCTTTTGTATCCTCCCTGTGCCCGCACAATGCTAGGGATTCAAGAGTCAGTCAACAAATATAACTAAACCTATACCACAGGCCCTTATTCATTCCTTAAAATCAAGGAAATGTACATTATTTCTACCTTCCACAGATCATAAGGAAGACAGAAGGGATAAAAACTTGGCTTAATTGGGGTTAAATGTGTAGAAACTAAGGAATATCCAATCACCTGAACTCAAGTCCAGTTAATTACCTAGATACACCTTACTATCTAAAAAGATTTACTATATTTGCCTACCATGTACTAAGTACAAGTGTAGAGCTTATAACCATGAATGGGATAATTTCTGTCCTTGAGCCCTGGGACAGGCTGATAGCAAACATATATTACTATATGATAAAGTGCAATAACAGGACTGTGTATATATGCAGTGCCATGAAGGCATGTGGCTGGAACAATCAACAGACCCTTGGAAACCTAGAGGGAAAAGTAATTAATATTATCTTGTGCCTGTGATCTAAAAGCATGTGACAAGACATCTTAACCATGTGATCACATTTACACTTTGGTGACACCTCATGAAGCAAGTATTATTTTCATTTTACAGATGACGACAGCAAGGCTAAAAGCAGCTAAGAAACTAGGTTTCAAATTAAGAGCCGTCTGACTACCAAAATTAAGGTGCCTTCTCCAGCTTTAAGTGTTCCAGGTCCCCTTCCCTAAAATTTCCTGATTGGAGAATCCTGAAGCACTTAAGCTTGCTCCAACACAGATTTGGTCAGCCAGAGGAGGTTTAACCCTTACAGTTTCCAGCAACTGACAGGCAAGATGCTTTTACTTCAATCTCAACAACGGTTGATATCATTATATGCTCTAAGCAGGGGTCCCCAACCCCTGGGCCACGGATACTGGTCTGTTAGGAACTGGGCCACAAAGCAGGAAGTGGCGGGCGAGTGAGCGAAACTTCATCTGTATTTGCAGTAGCTCCCCAGCACTATCATCACCACCTCAGCTCCACCTCAGATCATCAGGCATTAGATTCTCATAGGAGCACTGGTCCCCTGGTACTAAAAAGGTTGAGGACGGCTGCTAAAGGAAGCTTTCCCACTCACCTGAGAAGGATGGCAGGCCTGGGGAATTCTGCATCTTCCTCAAGCTCTCCAACAGTGGGTTAGTGCTTGGGGCTGGGAGGGAGGTTGGGGAGGAAGCAGTCCCAGTAACAGGCAGGGTAAAAGTAAAAGAAGGCTGAGTGGTAGGTGGGTTCTCAGTGACAGAGTTTGAGGCAGCATCTAAGGAAGAAAAAGAAGACTCAATTGTCCTCCCTAGTTTGGGAATTCTTTCCAGTGGCATATTGTAGAGCACGGGGATGCTCAGGGTCTCAATATAACTCATTTAGAAATGTTTTCCCTCAATCTCAGTGCTCATTGTTCTTCATATTCCATTGAAGACCCTAATGGATCTCTCAGATGAAAAAGACGAAAATAAAACCAAAGGAAACAAATCCTCTCTGGAGTATGAAATTGATCTGTATTCCTTACCAGTCTTATCCTCCAAGACCTTGTTAAACCATTGTAATGAAGCTTTCTTTTCCAAGTCTAGGTCTTCAGCAGTGATTGAATAACCGAGCTGGGGAGGTGGAGGCTACCCAAGAGAAAAAGGAGAAGTCAAAGCAATCAGAAGACACTGGAAGAAATCTGCATTTAGCCTTCCTAAGACTTAGAAAAACTAAACTGAGGTAGGTGGGGAGGTAGACAGATAAGATCATACCAAGGTCAGCTGGTCCCCTCGCCTGGAGGGCAGCAGCTGAATCTTCCGTTTACGCTGCCCAGAGTTGCCAGGTGTAGATGGGGAATTCCATGAGTTCTGTTTCTTGCATGCGGTTGTATCTACGACTAAAGAAAGAAAGATAGACTTTGTTTTCTTCCTCCCCTCTTCCAGAAATGGATAGGTTATGTCTATCCACCTGGTTTTTAACACTAAATTTTCACTGGGTGTCTCTGAAGATTCTATCTTCCATGGTTTGGGCTCTTGAATGATGTTTGTAAGATTATTACTAATAGTCAAGAGGATATAAAGAAGAGAATTACTCCAGATGCATGCATACAACTGCTGGACAATAATTCCTGGATTGTTCAGAGATACCTCAACCTAAGCTCATCCCTATACCACAGTTACCATGGATTATACTGTATTTGTTTATGTCACCATTCTCCCTTACTGGACTATAAGCCTCTGAAGGACAGGAACTTCTATCTCTGTAATCTACCAGGCCCTTTACACAGCAATGCTGAAAGCATGTTTTTGAATAGGTGGTAGTCTAAACATCCTCCATAAACACTTCTACCACTGCTATAAGCCACTCTTAAGTGTTTATCAACTTACCCTTTTCTCCCTGGGGCTCCTTATCTGTTACTAATGGAGTTGAAGAACTAGAATGATGAGAAAGTTCCTCTTCTCTGTAAAAAAACAAACAAACAGAGAACTAGGTTTAGAAAGATTTCCTAACAAAAAATATTGGATAACTTACACCCTCCTAACTACCACTGGCCGAAGTCTAGAACCACCATGATCTGAGATCTCAGTTTGCCAGGACAAAAAATAAAAAAAGTCAAAAGAAAAATCCCACAGAAATGAAGGAAGATAGTTTATGGAAACCATAGAGAAGACTCTGTCTTAAAACAAGCACAAAACAATTATCTTCAAAACCTAATTACAACCCATCAAGCTTCTGGGAGTTCTAGTCACAGACCTGGTCTCAAAGAGAGTGGGATTCTAGTTGATTGTAGGTACTTAGAGGGTCAGCTGGAGTCAAGAACATGAAATCTACTGCCTGCTGACATTATGCACTGTTCATTCTGTGTAGCCTCTACTCTTACACCCTGATCACTCATGCAGAATAAGGAAGAGAACTAGAGATCCCTACAGCCAGTACACGTAAATAAATGTAAGAGATGAGGGCAGTTCAGGTAAGTACTTCACTGTCCTAGATGTTAATTTATGTGATTCTCCAGTGTTGCAGAAAGCGTAAGAGCCCAGTAAAATTTCTTCCTTTCTTGTCCTCTCATGAAGCCACACAGCAAATCACTGATTACCTTATTTTCTTTGCTGGCCTCTCTGGTGTCTGGGAGCGGGATGAGGCTGGGCTGGAGAAGGGTGATGTACTGGGACCACTTCTCTTCCATAGCTAAAAGTCAAACAAAAGTAACGTGACTGATGTAGCTGATAGTTTAGCATTCAACCTTCAATATAATTTTATGGTTCTTTTCATCACTACATATGAAGTCTCCTTTCAAGTTACTAAAAAATATTTCTTTGAGGAGAAAGACACCTGAAAAGAAAGTCAATTGCCCATATTAACTATGAGATAAAAGTCTGAAAAAGTAATGAAATGCTAAATAAAAAATAGAGAAGGAATGAATGTATTTTGCATGTATTAAAGGGTGGAATGTTACATTCAGTAATGGTTGAATAAAATTAATTTATATTTAGATAACAAATATGAATTTATTTATATGTACTTTGATAAAAGTAAATTAAGAAACTGTTCTAGTGAAGATAAGGCAGTAAATTAAGTCTTGCTTTCATAAAATTTTCAGTTTCACTTAATTTTATAGTAAAAAATAGGCTAATAATATTTATTACTTTTACATCTACAGTATTTATTGTTATATTATCCATATATGTCTCTTATGCCAAGAAGAGTCCCTTAATAGCAAAAAGTCTGTTTTCATCACGACCTCCTTCAAAGGGTCCTAGCAACAAAGTAACTGACAAAGAGCAAGCACTCTGCAAATAAAACTTTAGCCTAATTACAAAGTTACTAAACAATCACGTTTTTCCTATTGAGGCACTTCTTTCTAGTGATTTCTTACTCTGTAATGGTTGCATCACATAAGCACAAACAGGGAAACAACAATGCTTAAAAAAAGTCTGAAAGAAAAAGAAGGTTTTAAAATCAAAAACAGGTGGTAAAACAGTAGATCAGTTCCATAAGACTAATACTAGGAAATCAAAGGCTCAGAATAAGCTTGAGAAAAATGCTGAAATCCATAAGTTTTTTTTTTTTTTTTTTTTAAATGTTACTCTCAGGTAAAAAACAGGAAAGGACAGTCATTTGGGGGGAAAAAATGCTTGGGTCTCACACCTTGCATTTTTCACACTGCCAAAGGTGATTCTAATGTTTTGCCAGGGTTCAACACTTAGGAGGAAAAATATTATCTACTTCATACACTGTATCTATACAATCTAGATGTAATAACCTTTTACATGTAAAAAGTGAAACAAAAGAACTATAAAAAAATAGATGAGTTGTTAAATAATATGGAGTAGGGAAAAGACTATGTTAGAAACAAAAGAAAGCTGAAAGAATGTTACATAAAAACTAAGAACCTCTCTATATAAAAATATTGCCATGTGGGAAGGAGACTTTACTATATATCCTTTGCACCATTTGAATTTTCAACCATACTAATGTTTCCATAAAATAGAAATAAAGTTTATGTGGGCAGGAAACAAATGAACAAAACAAAAACCATAAATAGAACAAAAAGCAAATATTTTCAATTAAAGGGTTAAGAGTTAATATCCTTAACATGTCAAAATGGAAAACATGCAACTTCATATAAATATAATGAACATGTCAAACGAAAAGTGGGCAAAAAAATTACAAGGCAAGTCAGAAAAAGAAATAATCTATGTATCTGGCAGTCAATTTAGTTCTGCACTTCAATTTTTATTTGCTGAGTTCTACTTCATATACCTTTATACTTTACAAAGAATGTAAAAATAAAAATAAGCAAGACTATTCCTATCAAGTAATTTATGGGAGACCACTTAGGAATAACCAGGTGCTGTAGGTGTAAAGAAAGGAAAGAAAGGGAGGGAGGGAGGAAGGAAGGAAGGAAGGACGGACGGAAAGACAGAAAGAAAGAAATTTATAATCTGGAAGAGGTTGGTACATAAATTGACTCTAATAGCCAAAAGATAAAACAGGTTTCTAAAAAGGAGACCAAGAAGAAAGAGATTATGCTGTTTGGTTAGTTGTCAATAGAAGATAAAGGTGACATGTGAGATGCTCCGTAATTTGATAAACACTTCAAGAAAGACAAACCTTTATAGGCTTACAGTGGGATGGATAATCATTCCAGATGGAGAACAGAAGGGAAGGGAAGGAAGTAGGGAAATACTAGGTGCTCTTAGGAGATAATATTCCAGTTTGGCTTAAATATAAACTATAGATAAAAGAATAAGGGACCGGGTATTAGAAATGCAAGCTAGGGGTATGAACTTTTGAAGGCCAGGGTAAACAGCCTACTATGGAAAATGACAAGTCTTGTAAGGCACATGGAGGTATCAATGTCATGCACAAAGAGGTAGAACAGTTCACTTTTTATACCTGGTACTAGCCTAACATTTGTAATGATTTTATAATATCAAAGCTACAACTTCTAGTTTTGGTAGCTGAGATTTGAGTATTTACAAGTGTTCCTCTGGAAAAACACAATTAAGTCAAATATCTATACTACCACTTGCACCAGATCTATATTGATTACTGGGGATATTTACTACTTCAGTACACATTTCTTTCAAAGAGAAGCTTCAACATAAATAAAGCTTCAACATAAATAACTTCTATGTTACTTTAATCTCCCCTTCCTAAGGCCTACATCTGAGAACTTTCATATATTCAAATATCACACATCAAGAGAGGGCTGGTAACTACTTACAATAGAACAGTTAGCAGCTATTAGAATCACTGAGTGTATTTCTTGTAGTAGGTCACAAGCTCCACCAGGAGTGAGGGTGCTTTAGAACAAAATCTGACCATGTTTTAAGCAATGGCTGACTGTGTTGTTTTAGACCAACCCTCCTGGTGAGGATAAGTAAAAAGTGCTGAAGAATATATAAAATACATCTCTTTGAAGGTATGGCAGTATGAAGGGCTATCAAAGACAGTGAGACATTGTAGAGACCAGAGAAAAGGTACCAAGAGGTAAGCCCCACACTTAGATCTACTTTTTCCTTCATGGTGATTGCCAATTCCAAAAGTAAAAGCTACTGAAAAAAACTTCTGGCAGTCTCTTAGCCCTGAAAGACAAAAACTGGAATTCAGTGCTTTCTAAAGAAGAGGAGCGCTAAAAAACATTTCGGGCTTTTTGCTGGGATCCTGAAGGCTACATACTAGGATATAAGGCAAATAAAAAACAAACCAGCCTTCCTAAGAACTGACAACCTACTCAGAATCATGTTAATTCCAACTGGACAGAGGTAATCTGCTCCTACTATAGCTGCCTGCCAGGGGCAAAAGTAAAACCTCTCTGGAGGAAGATACTATCATTCAGAGCTTCAGGTCACATTTCTCCTCAAATATCTGAGAGAGAAACAAAAGAACAGAAGAATCAAGTATATAAAAAGATATTTAATCAGTAACGAATAAAAAAAGAGCTAACATCAGAAAGAGACCACGGAAAATTCAAATGCCAGAGTTATTGAACAAAAGTTTAGAATAACTGTTTATTATAAGAATTTAAATGACAAAATAGAGAATTTTGGCAGATAAACAGTCACTATAAAAAAGAATAAGTGAAATACAATGAAATAAAAGAATACAATGGACAGATCCTCAGTGACATAAGCAGAGTGAGAGGACCTCTTGGTTTCAACTCTTAAAGTTACAAGTTAGACAACTATAATTCAACAAAAGGTCACCTGCTCAATACACAAATAAATTCGAGAGATCCACACACTGAGACATATGAAGACAGGCATACTGAACAAGCAAGGGAGACAGACAGGATGGAGGAAGGACAGAGGTAGGAGCCACAGATGCAATCTGACATTCACCGCAGCCCCAGCTGTCTCAGTAGTGGGGAAGGAGTTGTGTAGCAACCCTTGCATGGCAGCACAGAGGGCTGGACGGGCAGAAAGAGCATTCTGGACTGAGTGGCCGGTGCTTACTGTGGCTAAACCCAGTGACAAAGGTAGAGATGCAATACAGCCATTATCAGGGAGAGAACAAAGCCACAGATGCTCATACCTGCCTCCCTGCCCTTCCTGACCCCCGTTATGGCAGCTGGGACACCTCGGAGAGTACAGAGCAGCTGACAGCCTCTGGTTACAGGAGGCAGTGCCAGGAATTCACAGGGCCGTAGCCCCACCACTTGCCACATCCCACCACTGGAGGTAATACCCTGAGACCAAGGTGACCTGGTCACAGAGGGGATGCCCACCTCCTCAGAGAACACAGAACATTTCCATAGTAAATAGAAGCAGGAAACGGAAACTCTTGTTCATATTAGGGTATTATAACAAAGGTTAAGGAGGGAAAAAGCATTAAAAAGAAGAGTAACTTCTGCAATTTGGAATTGAATGAAAGCATAAAAAGGGTTATTGTGACAACAAAAACATAAAAGAGGAAGGAAAAAATAACTGAACTTCCACAATGAATGAAGATAAGACGCAATCAAAATAAAAAAGGACTATTCTGAAACTTTGTTTACATAAACCTAATGGTAACCACAAAACAAAAATCTAGAGCTGAGACATGTAACCAGCTCTTCCTACCCCTCCCCCGCCAAAAAAAAGGAAAACAGGAAAAAATCATAGAAAACTACCAAACTAAAAAGCAGACAGAAACACAAAGGAAAAGAATCAATGGAGATACAGAATAACCAGAAAACAAAAGATAAAATGACTACAGTAAGTCCTCATACATCAATGATCACCCTACATGTAAATGAACTGAACTCACCAATCAAAAGGCACAGAGTAGTACAATGGATTAAGAAACAAGACCCAACTATGTTGCCATCAGGAAACTCATCTCATCTACGAAAACAGAGGCTTAAGCAAATGACATTCAGAGAAAAGCAGGTGTAGCCGAACTTTTAGCAGACAAAATAGATTTTGAGATTAAAAAAAGGTAACAAGAGACAAAGATGGGCATTTTATAATGATAAAGGGAATAATTTCTCAGGAAAACATAACATTTATCAATATATATGCACCTAATCTGGGAGCGTGAAAACATATAAAGCAATTAATAACAAGCCTAAAGGGAGAAGTTGACAAAAATACAATTATAGTAGTGGACCTGAATACCCCATTGACTGCAATGGATAGAATCGTACAAACGGAACGCCAATAAGGAACTATCGACCTTAAATGACACATTAGATCAAGTGG